AACTAGATGAGTGGTTGCAACAGATCCCGGGAACAACATCGGACATCTCAGTCCAGAAATGTGCAGTGCTGGGAACAGCAAGGATACTGCGCAGAACCCTCAAGCTTCCTGGCCTCTGGTAGAGGACCCGAGCTGAACGGGGGATGGACACCACCCGAGGGGTGAGACGAGGATTTTTTTTTTTTTTTTATAAAATATGTATAAAATATTATTTGTAGTTTATAATAGCCAATACATTACAAATCTCAAAACAAGGTAATATTAATATGAATACAAAAGTACAATGTGGCACAGTCTAGCACAGGGGTGCCCAAACTTTTTTGACGGAAGATCTACTTTTCGATCAATCAACCTCCCGCAATCGACATGTTACCACGCACGCACACACACGCACGCACTTGCACACGCATGCCATGATGAGCAACAGCCATACGGCCCCTAACGAGAACAAAAAATAAAGCAGACACAAGAGTTTATGAGTTTGTCAAAAGGAAATCACCTCAATGGAGAAGGGTCCAGCTGGGATACTATTGCCTCAGTGGGAGACCTGACACAGAGGCATGTGACACACTTTTGCTAACTATAATAGCTCACAAATTTTACCATTTTAAAATGCTTTTCTCTGCCCTCCAGATTGACATTCTTTGTGAGTGCCATCGGTGAATTGTACACAAAACGAACTTTGACTTATAATGACAATAATCATAATAATAATAATAATAACAATAATACAAATACTACTAATAATAAAATCTATATCGCAGCAGCTCTGCTCGCAAGCTGCAATTGCAGACTGCTGACCGCTAACAACTTCCAGTGACGCAGGTCACGCTCCACCGTAGGTTAAAGGTGACCTGCTTTATTTTATTTTTTAAATACTTTTTGTGAAAGTGAGACTGATAGGCTGATTAGGGTTCAGTGTGCATTCACACAAAAAGTATATTGTTAACATGCACAGAGATGAACAAATGTTTGTTTTTCTCTTCGTCCCTCACGATCGACATGGGACTAGTCCACGAGCTACCGGTCGATCGCGATCGACGTAATGGGCACTCCTGGTCTAGCATATACTTTTAAAATGAGGGAGTTTCATTGTTTAAATTTCCAAGTCCCTGTGACCCCCAGTTCCAAGATCCCCTCTGCGCCCCTGATGGCTTGGTCTGGACCAGCAAGCCCAGTTCTCATGATTCCTGACTGACCATCCTTCGTGTGGCCAGGCTGCAGCAGTTTCCAGACATGGCTAAATGGAAGGTGATGCTTCACATATAAACTGCAGTGTTGCTGAACTTCTTGGAGTTTTTCATCAAAACTGGTGCAACAATCCTGACTCCATTAGTGATGTGTCGTTCGCGAACGAGCCGGCTCTTACGAGCCGCACGTGATTGGTCAAGATCCGTGGTAGAAGAGGGAGGAGAGGGTTACACACGCACGCACACGCACGCACACGCACACACACACACACACGCACACACACACACACACGCACGCACACACACGCAGAGAAAATGGATCGGAAACGCAATGAAATTTGGACTAATTTCAACTTAATTGATAGTTCAAAGGCAGCGTGTAGACTGTGCAAGGTTAAAATGTCCAATATCAAATTTTAATTTATAATTTGTTGTGTGGTAATCAAAGCTTACTTATGTTGTTTTACTGTAAATATTTAAACACTTATAAATATGCACAATCAGAGATTGGAACTTTTTGTTGACCTTGTTTTGAGATGGGTCTTTGTTTTTGTACTTTGTAATTTATTTTTTTGTAGCACTCTATGTTGTACGCCATGTTGAGTATGTTCAGAAGAATATAAAGCCATATAAATAATAAATATTTGATATACTGTATATTTTTTACATTCGTAATTCATTTTACACATAATTTTACATTATTTTTGGGAGTAAACTAATTTAAGCAACAAAAAAACTGAGGAGCCATTTGGGAGCCGAAAGAGCCGGCTCTTTTTAGTGAGCCGAGCCAAAAGAACCGGCTCTCTAAAAAGAGCCGGAATTCCCATCACTAGACTCCATCACTTTGGAAGCCAGCTTTCGGCAAAATAACGTTGGCGAGGTGCTCCCTCTGCTGGCAGTTAGGAGCAACGAACTATAGAAACAGCCTACAAATACGGGCCAAGATGGTAAAGGGAGGGGGTCAGCAGTTAAGAAATAGAATAAGGGGAAAAGCAGCATATTAACACCATCCATCCATCCATCACCTTTCTGATCCGCTTATCCTCTCAATACTTTGGGGGCGTGCTGGAGCCTATCCCAGCTATCCTTTTTCACAATAATGACAATGGCTATGATAACTGGGATGCCAATTGTCACTGAATTTATTTGAAACAGTTGCAGAGAAAGGTTTTGTCTGACAGTGTCTGACAGTAAAAACGTAATTGATGATCATTTTAAATAACTTTAATGAGCGCAGAGGTTTGTCCAAGAAAATGTCCAGGCTAGCACGAGGGTAAATATGTTTCAATTACTTTCAGATTGACCAAGTTCAGCTGTACTCTAGTTTTCTGGGAGGAGAGAATGTGCATTGTGATCTTATTAAATGAGTGTGCGGTTTCTTCAAATCTCTTTTCTACCATACAGTCTGGTGAGCCCCTCATTCACTGACCCCTGTATTAAAAACTTTAGATACATTATTTCATCAAGGGTGTCAATAATAATGTACCCCTCCCCTTTTCATTCATGTTTTTACATGAGGCCAATTTTAGTCATACTTTCACAACTTGAAATGCCATGAAAACATAGCACAAAGACTAAATAATACAATACAATACATCCTGATTTATATAGCGCTTTCACAACAGCTGCAGCTGTAACAAAGCGCTTAACAAAACAGTTAACATAAAATATAATAATAAACACAACATATAACATAGACATGGACAGTCATGCAATCCTAACCACTTTTTCTGCATACACTTGGTTGTTGTTGTTTGAAGCAGTTCTAGATGAAAGAGGAGAGAATCAAAGTGTCCTTTCACCAGTGGATCAGAGACGTCATGCTCAAAATGTGCACACGTCGGCTACAAGTTTCAAAGTCAACAAGAAGCTGTAGCATCCATTGATGAAAAAAAACATTGGTTCACTTCTCCTGTCCCATGTAAATCCATTTCAATTCCAAGCGGCGACTCTCAGTTCCAAATATGCATCTGTGCTCCACGCCGATGCTCCTGTCTCCTCATCCACGACTTCAGCAGCCATCCATCCAGCTGCACTACCGCAGACTGTTCAACAGTGCCAACATTTCCACTGAACAAAAAGGGGCTGTGAAAAATGCCCATTACAGGTGCAAAAATAATATATTGGGGCTGTCCAGCACTGACAGTTAAATGGCGCCAACATTCCTCCCAATGAAAAACAGTGCTGGTACACATGTGCTGAAGACGTAACCACCAAGCACAGATTATTCTTCTTTGACGAATGTCGTGGACAAAAAAATGCTGAAAGCAACCCACATTGGGGCTACACCAGGGGTCACCAACCGCCGGTCCGCGGACCTTTACCGGTCCGTGGGGCATTTGGTACCGGGCCGCACAATGAGAACTTACATTAATTCCGTTGTATTTATTTTGGAATATGGAAGACATTTTATTTTGAAAAATTACCCGATTCCCCGTTACATCCATCTGTGCCACTCTTGACGCACATCAAACCACGCTTCTCCGTCACGTGACTGATTACGCTTAAAAACAAAACGCCAGAGCTTGCTAAATGAGTAAAATAAACTGCTGGAGATTGCAAATGACGGCGGCCTTAAAAGTACGTTCGAGACAACAACTCTGCCGGTGTTCTGGATTCAAGTTATGGCTGAATACTCTGAGATCGCCACAATAGCACTGTTGCTATTTCCGACATGCTACCTGTGTGAGGCGGGGGTTTTGTGCAGCAACGGCGACTAAAACAAAATTACGAAGTAGACTTGACATAAAGCACACTCTTGAGGTGTCATTGTCTCCTATTACCCCGAGATGGCACCGCCCGGTTGCAGAAAATCAAGCTCGGGGCTCGCACGGATTCAGCATTGTGGTGAGTTAACATTTTCATGCACTTTGAATTTGCGTTGTATTGTATTTTGAAGGCATTAAACATTACCATAGCGAACAGAGTGTTGCGGCCAGATTAGACGCTCCTCGTGTTTATTATTAGCTCTCGAAAACACCACAGTGTTCATGCAGCTCTTACCATATTATTTTGTAGTATTTACCTGCCACACCTTAAATGCCGGTCCGTGAAAATATTGTCCGACATAAACCGGTCCATGGGGCAAAAAAGGTTGGGGACCCCTGGTCTACACGACATAACAAACACCGTGTGACAAAACAAAAGACAAAAAAAAAAAGCAAGGCTCTTGAAGAGCACTTGCCGACGGCTGCCTACTCAGGCGCCATTTTGGAAAAAAAAAAACAAAAAACATATCTAATATAATCTAAAATAATCTAAGTAAATGTTTCTTTTTTTATAATTCAAAAAAAAATATTACTATAACTATATTGGAAAATAATGTCCGGACTGAAAACACTTCAAGTCAACGTTTCAGTTGCAATTGTGGTGTGTGTGTGTGTGTGTGTGTGTGTGTGTGTGTTCAACATGTATGTCTGGCGATATTTTGTTGTATTTTTCCTGACGGCTCGAGGTATATATTTTAAAGATCCTATTATTTTTTTATTTTTAATTTTTTTTAAGATCCTACTATTTGTTTTCAAATCTTTCAATAGCCCCGCCGCACCTTACAGTACCTCTCTGACCTCCTCTGCCCCTACACATCTGCCTCAGGTCTGTGGACCAGACACGATTAGAGATACCACGAGCTCAGCAGAGGCTCAGAGGGGATCAAGCCTTTTCCATTGCTTATCCCTATCTTTGGAATGAATGCCTACTGAACGTTTGGCAGGCCCCCTTGCTGCACATCTTTAAAACTGGTTTTAAAACTAATTTTTATTCTTTGGCTTTTGACTCAGCATGAGACTTGATTTTTAGTTTTTCTGTTTTTGTGTATACAAGGGTGATTGTTTTAAAGTGCTCTATAAATACACTTGAGTTGAGTTGTCTCACCTTTACAAACTTTAAATATCAACATGTTTTAAACCAAGCTGGGTGTGCTCCTTTGTTTATTTTTTGCATCATTGGACAAACAAAAAGGATTTTTTATGAAGTATTACATTTGATGAACTTTATTGTCTTCACCGATCTAATCAGACAGAATAAATATAATACAGCAGCGGATGTTTTGTGTTTTGTTCTTAACAAAACAGTTCACGGCTTGGAAAACCTGTCCAGAAATAAATACAAATAAATAGTTGAAGAAATGAATCCATCCGTTTTCTGTATCCTCACTCAGTAGGGTTGTTGCTGCTGGTGAGCTGGAGCCTACTCCAGCTGACTTTGGTCAAGAGGCGGTGCAGACCCCGGACTGTTCAGCAGCCAATCATAGGGCAAGGGAACATACAGTGAGTATACACAAACAACCATTCCCAACTCAGGGCCATTTTAGAGTCTTCAGATGATTTAAGAAGTATGTTTTGGAATGCGGAAGAAAGATGGAGTAACCCCACACCTCAGATGTTTGAAGCGGACCTGCTAACCATTTGGCAGCTGTGCCGCCCACACAGAACAAAGTCATTCTTCAAAAAAAAAATGTTTGCTGTGAACTTACTGTCTGATGAAATTAAATTAAAATAAATAAGGGTACCAATTAAGTATAATCCATGAAAAGAGAAAATTATGAGTTTATCTTCACATAGAATTCTTGAATAGTTTGAGTGGTTATTCAAATGTTATTGCATGGATCAAAAGGTAAGGATTAAGGGTGCATGCATGCGATAAGGCTGAGATGCAGAGATTATTTAATCGAAAGAATCAAGTCAGTCAGTCCTCTGAGCCGCACCCGTCATCTGCTTGGTGCCCTTTGAAGCATGCTGACTCGTAGTGTTTGCTCAAGTAAGACTTGAGCGCAAAGCTTTTGTGGCAGCGTTTACAGGAATAGTGCTTGAATGCCGAATGCGTCTGCATGTGGGCGCGCAGGTTGGAGCGGTCAGCGAAGGCTTTCCCACAGTGGGCGCAGGCGAACGGTTTCTCGCCGGTGTGGGACCGCATGTGGCCCTGCAGGAGCCAAGGCCGACTGAAAGCTTTACCACACACCGTGCAACCGTGCTTCAAGTCGTGGGTCAGCATGTGCATGGATAACGCGGGCATTGATACGTACAGCTTGTGGCAGGTGGGACAATTCCTGGCTTGCTGGCTGTCCAGGCTCCGATGAGTCTGCTTGTGTCTGCTCAGATTAGATGACGTTGCGTAAGACTTGCCACACTCACTGCATACGTGACGACCTTGGGTTTTGGATTTTGGTCTGTGACCGGCTAACCTTTTAGCCTTGCTGCTGTCTGATTGACATGCCCGGTCGGGTCTCCGGCTGGAGCGTCCATCAGAGATGAAGAAGGAGTCGATGGCGCTCACTGCCGTATCGGATTCGATTGAGGTGCTGGAGACTGGGCTATCTGGATTATCCATGTCATGGTCAGAGAATTCGTCCCCGCTGCTGCCACCAACACATCCTTGGGAGTACAATGCTGCAGAGGCCACCTTGGACTTGGACAGCTTTGTGTTTTGCAGCACCGAGGGAATTATGTAATCATGGATATAGCCTGGGGAAAAGTGTATGTACATTTCATGTCAGAAACGTCTTTTTGGAATGAAATGAATGCGGCGACTCTTTGACCCAAACATTCATCAACATGAAAACTAATACAGGAAGCGATTGGTGAGAGGCAGCTTCAGCAGGCTTTTGAGTATGAAATATAAATGAGTGCTTAGTGTGCAGTTGTCCCAGTCAATACATTTTGTGACTTCAACAAGTGCTCTTGAAAAAAAGATGTTCTGAAAGGCCGTCACGGTGGAATATCAGTCAAACATAATGTGCTGACTTTGGCAAAACATCCAAAGTGCAATCATTTGGCTCCCAATCGATGCACCTGTCGCCGCCTCGCAGCCGGAGCAGCATCTCGAGTGTGCACAGTTAAAGCACAGCGCCTCAGTCTTAGGAGTAAAATCCCCAGGCTAAAACATTTTAATCAGATCGTTGCCAATCTGTGGCATTTTTTTTCAGGGGTTCATGAGCATGATAATGGGGCAACTGAGTGACAGGTGGTGAGGCGCATTTTGGCAAAGGAGAAAAAGGAGGGTCTTTATTTGGGAGCGTGTGAGATGCGCGGGGGGCTGAGGGAGCTCTGATCTTGACAGCAGTCCATGGTTTTATTGAGCCCCCACCACCTCCATCACTGCACGCGGCGAAACAAAGGCAAGCAGACAGCTGGCACCCTGAATCTGGGGGACAAATGATTCAACTTGAATGGGGTTGGTGATGAGTGGCTGGAAAATCTGTTCATGCATTTCTTTGGATGCTCCTCACAGCCACATACAGGCAAATACAGAGCACCACGTGCTGGTCCATATCACAAGTATTACCGCTTCAAATCAACTGCTTGCCACCGTAGTGCTCATGTTTCACTTTATTGGATTACCTGCAGCACTCTCTATTTCCTCGTCAATATCCATCCTCTCAAAACCTTCTCCATCACCTGTTACCGCTCCGCATATGGGCAGTTGCGGCAATCCTACTCTTTGGCTATCTAACATCCTGCACGACCAGATGGAGGGACATGGAGAGATGAGGTAGGGAGGCGGGAAGAGGGGCACGATAGGAGGGGACACTCAAGGGCACCTGCGCCGTCTAAGGACAACATGGTCCCATGTGACGATCTGTTTTATTTTTTTGCTGTTTTCATTTGGAAGTTGCAAGAGTTTGTGTTGGGTATTCTGCCTGGTCCCCACATAGACAGTATGCATGCCATCATTTAAGTCCAAAATTCAGATAAAGCCAAGCCAAAGACAGCTGTTTGATCTTGTTTGGGTATTAATCTGACTGAGCCCGTGTGACCTGAATACTATTTAGTATACAAAACAAGTCCTAGGCTTTACGGATGGGACAAAGCTGCCAGTAGAGGATTTGAGGTTGTTTCCCAGAGTCGTATTGTAGTAAAAGCAATTCATTTCTTTCATTGTTTACTACCTTTTCTTCTAATTTTGAAGAAAAAAAAACACTTCAGCATCCCAAAATGAAGAAATGTTTTCCCACACAAGAAGTACTCATAAACAAGTGGAAATTAACTCACCGTTTTCACTCAAATGGACAGCCAAGTTGGTAGCTGACTCTGTGATGGCATGTGTCACAGAGTAGGAATCATCCCAGTGCTGCTGACTCTGGTGGTAGTAGTTAGAAGGCAGGGAGTCATGACCCTTGGGCTGCTTCACCAAAAATGAGCGGGGCATTTTCTTATTTAAAGAAAGACAAAGAAAAAACACAAGGAAAGAAAGAAGGAAAGAAGGAAACACAATACAAAAACAGCCCCTAAAAACAGGAAAAGACTGTTGAGTTTGGGTTTTTTTTTGTTGGGGGGAGAAGATAACAGCAAAAATGCCCTAATCTTTCAAGTACAAAAAAGCCTTAAAATATCTAAAAAGATAAGGTTTATAGGAAGGGGAGAGAAGAGGAAATGTGTTTAAAAAAACAGCAGAAAGAGAGAAAGCATAGACAGGATGGAGATGAAGATGGAAAGTGATGTGTAGGAAACTGAGACACAGAAAGAGAGAGAGAGACAGAGAGAGCGAGGGGCAGAGCGAGAGAGAGAGAGAGAGAGAGAGAGAGGAAAGTAAAAGAGAGATGCCAAAGGAGGAAAAGAGGGAGAGAGAGGGAGAGAGAGAGAGAGAGAGAGAGAGAGAGAAAAAGAGAAGTTGGGGGTGGAGAGGGTGGGGGGGGCGATGGATGCTCAACAAGCTGAGATCAGCATTACTGCAGCCTTTTATATGTGGGGCATGAGCCCCAAAGATCAGGTGGTGATTCCATGAAGGGAGCTGCTTAGCATTAATCCATCAAACATCCCAAGGGACACACATCAAATTACCACCACCCGTCTGTGCTTTCTCCTACACGCGCTCACGCGCACACACACACACACACACACACACGCAAATGCAGCCGACCAACCACACCATCACCACCACCACCACCACCGCCGCCGCCTCGTCCCAGTGGGTCCTCCTCTGCCTTACTCCCCTCCGAGTGGAGACAATAGTGGTGCAGGAGCATGTGGGAGACACTACACAAAACATCTTGTCTGCCATTGTCTCTCAATGAAGTAGCTAACACAGTTCATACCACACCCAGCACACGCCACCTTTCTGCTAACCCCTCCATCTTTGATCATGCATCATGAACCAGATTTATCTGTTGGAATCTGAAATCGCAAATGACAATTGCAGATATTTTTTTTTTGCATTGCTCTGTAGTATTTTGTTAGTTTCATATTGGGCATAACGAGATGTTTGCGCCATTGTAGGATATAACATTGCCTTTTCCGGGCCAATCGTAGCGGCATCTCTCATTTGCATTGAGATCAGGGCGGGAGCAGAAATAGACTCGCTGGGGTCCCAGAATGACATTAGCAGGTAAACTGCAAGATCTCCCCTTGTGGTTGATGTCGTCAGCCGCACATGTGATGCGGGCAATTGGAGACCACCTTAACACCCACAACCGTGCGTCTGTGTGTGGCCACAAACAGTCGTGCCACGGCCAAGGCCGTGCTATTAAGATGATGATGATGAAAATTCGTTATTATGCGTTATTTCAACGATGATTCCAAGGGATTGTCACATGTTCTTGTCACATTTATTAATTAAATAGATGACATCCACCACACACGTCTGCAAAGTGCCAAATCTGCATGTCTGCACCTTGATCAAGACCTACCAAAGGTGCCCCACTGATATCACTTGCACTGCATAATAGAACTCCATTTTGGTCAACTAAAATTTAGTCTACTTGTCATCACCAAATTCCGAGATGCTGAATTGTAGCAGCCAGATCACCCAGAACATCCACCGAGGCATAGCGCGTCTACCAAATTCACAAACATGTCAAACTAGACTGCTCTGCCATGGAAATGGAGATTCATCTATTTTTACGCTGAGCACATTCTACTTTCTGTGATGAAACTGTCAGGTACGTTGAGGGTGAGGCAGTTCTGTGTGCCGGAACGCCAAGTGAGGCCTAACGCGGTCATTCTCGACTAAACTTGCCCCGGCAGAAAATGAATTTGCGCCTATCATTGTGACGAGCATACGGGCGCCTCTCCACCAAAATAGGGCCCCAAATATCAATATATTTTTCTCCACAACCAAATACCCTCTCCCCATCGGTGAAAGTATCCCAAGGGGTATCCACATTACAGAATGGGGCATACAGCCTAAGAGAAGGCAGCTAGATATTGACAGCGAGTTTTAAATTCTCCATAACTCCCCCAGTCAGCAAAAACTTCAGGGTCATCATACTTATGTGCTTAGCTCGGACAGCTAATGTGCTTTGACACCACTGTGTATGTTCCATTGACCAGCCAAAGTCATTTTGCTCCTCGTTCAAAAACTTCCTTTGACAAGTGAGGCTCGTGGATGCCACCGCCTCAGGTGGATGTCTCAGGCCACCACCCCCTCGTCCCCTACTTTGCATACCACTGGTAATGTGGTGCCAAAATTCACTTCGATTAACTTTCATCTTTTCTAAAAGCTTACCACTATTTAACCTTCATGCTTTCAATAAAACCATACAGTGTAACCCTCAACTGTATAAAAGAACACCCAAATTGACTTCCAGTCAGTAACAGGCTGATCTCTGTGGTTACGGGTTCACAAGTTTACACTGTGATTTGCAAGAGAAAGCTTCAGCACAGCTTTTACTCACAGATGGCTCTATTCAAAAAGTGTGACTGAATGATGACAGATGAATTCCTTGTGAATTCCCAATATGAATTGACTCTAAAGTTGGTTGACTTGCGCCCATGCGCCTGGCAAAAAAAAAAGGGTGTAACTTCATTTTCATGGCAACCCAAGTCCAGTCTAACGTGTTTGGGGCCGAATTGTGCTTGTTTGAGCATTGCGGCACACGTGGCACACAAGGTGCCTCGCCTCTCTTTCATCCGACAATTTGGCTTCAACAATGTAGTCTGCGCTCAGCCTAAAAATGGAAACATTGTCATTTTCACGCCATGGCTAAGGTGTGGTTCAGTTTGTTTGTGAATTGTGTTGACACGCTGCGCCTTACTGGGCATTTGTGCCTCGGCCCTCTGTGCATCTGCAAATATGGTGACAAAAAATGGGCTATAATTTGAGACAGCCTGAAAGGAGTTCTACTGGGCAGCGCAGGGGGTCAAACACGACTTTAGTGTATTTGATCAAACTGCAGTCAGAAAAATTCAGCGCTCTGCGGATCAGAAATATTGTGGGCACCAGCGTGGGACAATCCCTCTCAATCATTGTGGAAATGAATTAATTGAATGGATTATAATCATCATCTTTTTAATAGCACCCTTGTAACCTGTCACAATTGCAGGGGAGATGGGAGGGTGGAAGGCGGGGGGGCGGGGGGGCACACACAGATGCAAGATTGGGCGTGTAAGGCAGCCTCCAATTGCCCATGTCACATGCACGGCCGACTATATCATCAGCAAGGGAAGATTTTGCAGATCCATCAAGTTCTGACAAAAGAAAAAAATGTCACTGTGCCGGCAAGGAGGTTTGATCAGGCCCGCAGGATAATTTGAATGTGAAAAAAATGCATAAAAGACACGGAATGAATTTTTTAATAAGCTGCAATTCATGGAGTATCCGCTAGAGGGACACACTGTTTTGATCAGAGTAAAAGACAACATTGTTTTGATCAGAGAAGAAGACAACAGCCGCCTCAGTCTGTCACTGAAACAGGCCCAACACAGCAAACGCGATCAAGGACATGTAAATACTTTATTCTTTACACATTTAATAGCACTCTCCTTAGTTTGTAATGTATAGGCAGGGATTACATGTAGATTTTAAATGCACATGTAAATGGTTTAAAAATTCCTTTTTTTCTTTATAAATCTCGTTTAATCTTAAAAGTGCATTACTATATTTTTCAATACCAATTACTTGTTAAAGTTGTGTGCCTTTGCACAATCAGTGGTATCAGTTGCAATACATACGTGTGAATGACAAAAATAAATTGCACATTTGTCTAAGGAAATCTAAGGAGCGTCATGAAATGTTTTGTAAAAGATCTGTTTATTTTAAATTTCAACATGTTCCTAATGTTCTTGTGCTTCTTTCGACCAAAACAAAGGAAAGACATTATTTTGGTTATTTATCGCAGAGTGTGGTATAATTTTAATGGTCCAGCCCACTTTACATCTACCGAGGCCGTATGTGGCCCACAATGTGAAATGAGTTTGACACCCCTGAGTTAGACTGTGGTGTGGGGATACCGAGGATAGCAACAAGGATGCTAAAAAGGAGGAATTGTACAACTGCAATTTTAATCGAGTCAGACCTCAATCTTCCCCTCTGTGAGTCGTTACCTTACTGTGGTGGAGGGGTTTGTGTGTCCCAATGATCCTTGGAGCTAAGTTGTCTGGGGCTTTATGCCCCTGGAAGGGTCACCCATGGCTAACAGGTCCTAGGTGAGGCACCGGACAAAGCACGGCTTAAAAACCCCTTATGATGAATGGATCTCAGTTTCCCTTGCCCGGATGTGGGTCACCGGGGCCCGCTCTGGAGCTAGGCCTGGAGGTGGGGCTCGTTGGCGAGCACCTGGTGGTCTACACCCATGGGGCCCGGCCGGACTCAGCCCGAAGAGACAACGTGGGTCCCCCTTCTCATGGGCTCACCACTCATGAGAGGGGCCAAAGGGGTCGGGTGCAGTGTGAGCTGGGCGGCAGTCAAAGGCGGGGACCCTGGCAGTCCGATCCTTGGCAACACAAGCTAGATCTCGGGACGTGGAATGTCACCTCTCTTGCAGGGAAGGAGCCGGAGCTGATGTGCGAGGTAGAGTAGTTCCGACTGGATATAGTCGGACTTGCCTCCATACACAGCCTGGGTTCTGGTACCAGTTTTCTCGAGAGGGGGTGGACTCTCTTCCACTCTGGAATTCCCCACGGTGAGAGGTGTAGAGCACGTGTGGGCATACTCATTGCCCCCCGCCTCAGAGCCTGTACATTGGGGTTCACAACGGTAGATGAGAGGGTTGCCTCCCTCCCCCTTCGGGTGGGGGGACGGGTCCTGACTGTTGTTTGTGCACATGCAACCAACAGCAACTTAGCGTACCCACCCTTTTTGGAGTCCTTGGAGGGTGTGCTGGAAAATACTCCTGCTGGGGACTCCCTTGTTCTGCTGGGGGACTTCACTGCTCACGTGGGCAATGACAGTGAGACCTGGAAGGGCATGATTGGGAGAAACGGCCCCCCCGATCAGAACTCGAGTGGTGTTTTGTAATTGGACTTCTGTGCTCATCACGGATTGTCCGTAATGAACACCTTGTTCAAACATAAGAGTGTCCATACGTGCACTTGGCACCAGGACACCCTTGGCCGCAGTTCGATGATCGACTTTGTGGTTGTATCATCGGATTTGCGGCCGCATGTTTGGACACTCGGGTGAAGAGAGGGGCGGAGCTGTCAATTGATCACCACCTGGTGGTGAGTAGGCTCCGATGGTGGGGGAAGATGCCGGTCTGACCTGGCAGACCCAAACGTATTGTGAGGGTTTGTTGGGAGCGTCTGGCGGAATCCCCTGTCAGA